CAAAAATTCTGAAACTTATATCGTTCTTTTCAGTTCGACTAGGCGGTTCCAACGAGTTCGGTGCTCGCCAAATCCGTTGAGTTTTCACCGAGATATTTGCGCTTCACGGGCGCTTTTTTACATTGTTGAACATTTACCATTTTTGACAGTATTGTTATGATGATACAGCGTGGATAACGTGCACAATTGTGTTACGATTCAAAAACTTTATTGTTCATCAGACGAAACAAAAGCATTTCATTTTCACATGTGTGTAAGCCAAGGTGGCGAGAAAGGCAAGATTGCATATCGTAAAACTTCAAATAGTAGCCCGGGCTTTTATTTTCCCAAATCGTCGAACTGCACCGGCTTGTATTTGAGACAGGCGTCTATATGAGACAGGCCTTTATAATTTAGTGTTGAGATGTTGTTCATTGAGGCCTAGAGTCTCTAATCTCTAAAAATATCCAAATGCTCCACGTGAAACTTCCGACCTTTTACTAGTATCGTGTCAATTGATTTTGATTAATATGCGCGAGGGAGAGAGGCCAAGACAGCGCTCGTGTTTGAAGACGTGAGAGTGCGCGCGCGCGGCCGGGGCTCTCTCTCTCTCTGCTCGTTATGCGCCCTGTCAGGCGCAGCAGTCATTCTAGTCTACATCGATCAAAAAAGGCTTTCGCGGGACAAACATTTGCGTTGGCGACCGCCAAAAAGCAGACAATCGCACGGGTTTTAGAGGATTAAATACAACCTGAAACTAAAAAACAGACCCGGCCTCTATTTGAGACCGGCCTTTATTTACCCAAACCTGCAGCCACACCAGGCGTAAAAGAGACGGCGTCTATTTGGGACTCGGCTATTATTTGAAGTTTTACGGTATAAAAAAAAAATATATATATACATAAAAAAAACAATATTCGAATAGTAACTTGAGCATTCGAATAGTATTGATTTTTTTAATATTCGAATTATATTCGAATTTCGGAATTCGTTCCAACAGCCCTAATGGGGACCACAGAGTTATCGACACAACCAGACAACCTAGGTTCACTAAAGCAGTCACTAACTTTTTCAGAGTGCTGATCAGTTTTATTTTCATTGGTTTCATCAGGAGTATGATTTACCTGCTCATTGACAGTGACTGACTCATCCCCATGGTTAATTGCCTCTTGTATTTTACCTTTAAAGGTGCTCTAAGCGATGTCATGTGTTTTTTAGGCCAAAACATTTTTTGTCACATACAGCAAACATCTCCTCACTATCCGCTGGCTGCCTGTCCCCTGAACACACTGTAAAGAAACGCGATCTCTGTAGACAGCCCATGCTTCACAAACAGCACCAAAAACAAACTGCAGCGACCCGCTCCCCAAAACATAACAAACTGTTCCAGCCAATGACCGACAAGAAGGGTTTGGGGGTGTGGTTTGGGGGGTTAGTGTGCGGATGAGGAGGAGGGAGGGTCTAGCTAGCCTCCGTTTTGTTTGACAATAGTTCGAACGTCAACAAGAAGTGACGTCACCCAGGATCGCTTAGAGAACCTTTAATATGATTAATGTTCCTTCCCCTTTTTCATAAGGCTCCATCATCAGCAAACAGTGACTGTCCGATATCCCCTTGCACTTGTGAAAAAACATCATTAATCATTATGGAACAGAGTTTAGGGCTAATAACACTGCCCTGAGGAGTACCATTCTCTACCATGTATCTTCTTGAAACATCTGTCCCAATTTTTAGTTGAATAATTCTTTCATCCAAGAATCCCTTAATCAAATTATATGTCCTACGTGCTATTCCTATCATTTTTAATTTTATTATTACTCCCTCCTTCCAAACCATATCGTAGGCTTTTTCTACATCAAAGAACACTGCTATTACAGATTCTTTATTAACTTGAGCTTTCCTTATCTCTGTTTCCAAACACATAATAGGATCCATCGTTCCTCTACCCCTCCTAAACCCACTCTGATGAGGTGATAAAAATCCTCTTCTTTCCATATAAAAGGATAATCTATCTGTAATGATCCTTTCCATTATCTTTCCTACATGTGACGTAAGTGCTATTGGTCTATAATTCATTGGGCTTGACAAATCTTTCCCTGGTTTCCTGATAGGAATAATTACTGCTTCTTTCCACCCAGCTGGCAATTTCCCTAAATCCCATACTTTATTATAAAACCCCAACTTTGTAGATGCTAAAACACCTAAATGTTCAATTATTACATAACAGATATCGTCTTTGTCTGGAGATGTTAATCCAGATCCTTTTATTGCCCTTCTTATTTCTTCCATTGTAATTGCCGCATTCATTATACTGTTACTATCCTCCCTTCTTTCAAGTAAATGTCCATATGCTAATCTTGTCATTGTCCGTCCTCTCTTGCCCTCCTCCGTTAAGTTATCGGAACTATGAATAAGAGTAAATGCCTTCGCTATCATCTCTGCCTTCTCCTGGTCAGACACTGCTGCTTCCTCCCCCATCTTCAATATTGGATACTTCCATTCCCTTCTAATTCCTCGCATACACTTAATCATGTTCCACACATCTCCAACAGGTGTTGCTCTACCAATTTTGTTACAGAAAGTCTGCCAGCTTTGCTTTTTTGCTTTTCGTATAATTTTCCTAACCTTTGCTTGTGTTTCTTTATATTTAATCAAATTATGAAAATTATGGGTTCTTCTTTATACTTTGAGTGCTTTATTCCTTTCTTTTACTATTTTCCCACATTCATCTGTCCACCAGGGAACTGCCTTTCTTTTCATTTTCCCTTTGCTTTTAGGAATCGATTCTTTGGCAACTTGTAGTATTGTTGTTCTAATACTTTTATCAATCTCTTCTATTTCCTCATTTAGATCTATTTTGTCCATTTCTATTTCACACATATATTTAAATCTTTCCCATTTTGCACTACTAAATATCCACTTCCCCACTAATTCCCTTTGATCCTTATTTGTTTCCAATAAAACACTACACCATACTGGAAAATGATCACTACCTACCGATGAATCTTCAGATAGATCCCACTCACATATTCCCGCTAAATTCCTAGAAACTAAAGTTAAATCTAATGCTGAGATGTTCCCTGTATGCACATCTATTCTAGTCCCTCTCCCATCATTTAAACAAACCATGTTTCTCTCTTCTAGCAATTCTTCTATAACCTCACCCTTTTTGCATCTGTTCTTATTCCTCCCCATAAAGTACTATGTGCATTAAAGTCACCACACACTACCCCCTTGTTACCATCCAACCCTACTATTTGTGTTATCTGCCCCAACTCTAATTTCCTACAAGGATTATAATAATTTTATAATTACACACTCTCCCTCATTCGTCCATATCGCTACACTAACATATTCTTGTTATTTCCCCCCTACACTCACTTCTCTGAATGAAATAACGTCTCCAATAAATGTAGCACATCCTCCCAATACTCCATCTTCCCTATCACACCTTAGAGAGGCATTTCCATCTAACCTGAATTCTAAATTTGGTCTCAACCAAGTTTCCTGTACACAAATAATGTCTGGTTTATTGGGAAGATCATCAATATACTTTTTAAGTTCCTGTCCATTGGCCATCAAGCTCCTAACATTCTATTGTAGCAAGAGGACCATTATTAATACTATCCAGTCCCTACTTGCTCCTGGCTTGCTTGACTGCTTAGCTTATTCCTCACCTCCTCCCATGTCTGCGCCCTGATATCTAGGTGATACACTGCTGCTTTTACAATTATTTGTATTCTCTCCATTTTAGATTTAACCTCCATTTATCACCCCTGCTATGAAAGTGACTAACTTCTTTAGATCAACCATTACTATCCCCTCCTTTGCCTGGTCTGGTACTTTTGTATTTTGTGTTACAACTCTGTTTCTTTCATCACTCTTACTAACCATTTTCACAGCTTCTGCATATGAGATATTATTTTGAATTTTAGCTCGTTGTACTTTCATTTCCCTTCTCATCACCTCACATCCACCGTAAGCCACTCTATGACTACCCCCACAATTACAACACTTTAGTTGCTCGTGATTACAGTGACCATACTCATGATCTTCTCCACATCTTGCACACTTTCTTCTGCCTTTACATGTTATTGCTGTATGTCCAAACCTTTGACAGTTATAACACCTCATTGGCTTTGGAACATTCTCTCTTACACTATAACTCAGAAAACCTAGTGTTACATTTTTTGGGAGCACTTCCTCCTCAAACTCCAGAATCACAAGCTCACTGTCCTTCCTCATTCCCTCCCGAGTTATCTGCATCCTTCGATCACCTTTTAGATATCCTCCTTTAAGATTTGCTTTAATTTCCTCTATTGTAACCCCGACTGGTACCCCCCATATCACTCCCTTACTCCACATGTTTCCTTTTTCAGTTTGACTTGTACTTATTACTTTAAACCTCCCAATTTCTTTAATCCTTCCAGCCCGCTCTCTCTGTTCTTCATTTTTACATCCGATCATTAGATTAGGTCTGGGACTGCAAAAACAGGGAGATTAAATAGGGGAACAAACATAAGAGGGTAACGAGGCAGGCAGGTGGGGGAAATTAAACAATAACGAGATAACAAGATGGGAGGGGTTTGACAATTGACAGGAGAGCACATGGCACAAGGAAACAACATCAACAGACCAGACTAAACACAAACACATGACAAACCGGGAGTATCACAGCTCTGTCACTAAGCCAAGAGAAAACCCAGACAAGGGTGACAGAACTGTGACAGCAAGTTGATTTACACCAAACATTTGTGCTTTAAAAACCCTCTTCACTGTATCTTGCATCTGTTGTCTAGTTTGTAGTTCATCCGGTTTATTTAACTGTTAGTTTTACTTCTTTAGGGGATGATAATATAGTGAGATATAAATGTTTCTCTTCAGGGAGACTCTTCACCGCTGTCTTCTACCGCCGCCAGGATCTGACGGTTCAAGCAGGAAGTCGCCACACATTTATTGTATACACTATCTACATATTAATACTTATTCACTCAGAGTCTTTATGGTAGAGATGATCTTACCACAGTCTCTCCAGTTTACAGTGAGGATCCTCCAGTACAGCAGAGAACAGCTTCACTCCTGAGTCTCCTGGTTTATTCGTAGACAGATCCAGAGATCTCAGGTGTGAGGGGTTTGATCTCAGAGCTGAAGCCAGAGCAACACAACCTTCATCTGTGAATCCACAATCACTCAACCTGTAGAGAACAATGACACACATTAAGCCTATATCCAGAGATAGACATAACAATAAAATAACAACATAATGCTGTCAATATGAAATATATAAAATAAATATATAAAATACTCATTAGTTCACATTGTTAAAATACACCAGTTAGGATTAGGGGATATAATACACAGTTTTACAGTATAAAAATCATTATTTCTATGGAAAGTCCCCATAAAACTTGGAAACCCAACAAGTGTGTGACTGAGCCCGTCCTTCAGATGTGACGTTAAACCGAGGTCCTGACTCTCTGTGGTCATTAAAAATCCCAGGATGTTCTTCGATAAAGAGTAGGGGTGTAACCCCAGCATCCTGGCCAAATTTGCCCCTTGGCCTCTGTCTATCATGGCCTCCTAATCATCCCCCACATACTGATTGGCTTCATCACTGTCTGCTCTCCACCAGTAAGCTGGTGTGTGGTGGGCGTACTGGCGCAATATGGCTGCCGTCGCATCATCCAGGTGGAGCTGCACATTGGTGGTAGATGAGGAGATTCCCCCCTTGTATGTAAAGCGCTTTGAGGTCTCAGAAAAAGCGCTAAATAAATGTAACAAATTATTATTATTATTTATTATTTTTACTGAGTGTGTGTGTGTGTGTGTGTGTGTTTAATGTATTTGTAAACATTTTAAGGAATGTGTGTGTGTGTATGCGTGTTAGGGCTGGAAGAAAAAAAAACGATTCACCTATCGCAATTTTTTTGTTTAAGATTTTAAAATATATATATATTTTTTATTTATTCCAGAATCGATATTGATTCAAATTAAATTGCATTATTTTTGTCCTTCTTTATAGACTATGTTGGCAGAAGTTAGCCACACTTGTTCAAGTTTCAAGTTTAAAGTTTGAATTTATTTATATAGCACATTTAAAAACAGCAAACAGGGCTGACCAAAGTGCTGAACAATACACAAGATAAAGAACAAGGACAAACCACACACTCATGACAGAAGCTCACAATGAATTAAAAGATAAAGAAAAAAATAGGTTTTAAGAGAGAATTTAAAAACAGTTAAAGATTGAGCAGCTCTAATGTAAACCGGAAGGCTGTTCCACAGCCTAGGGCCAGTAATCGCAAAGGCTCTGTCCCCTCTATTCTTTAACCCTCTGGGGTTGACAAACGCGCAGGCGCGTTTTGCTCGATTTTTTTCACATAGCAGGAAAATAGACTTAAAATACTCTGTCAATTTTGGTCATACACACTTAAGAAATATAAAAAAATAAACTGTTGAATGTTTATTTTTTTATGTGCCCACTTACAATCGAAATAAAACGTATTGTGCTTTTGTAAAATAAAGAAAATAAACAGGATGTGCTTTCTGTCTCTCCATCTCCGTTAACCTTTTTTCTGGAGCACATCGCTAAACTTAAACAAAACTCAGCGAATACTATTCACCCAAGCATGAGCAATATATCTTTATGATCATTTAAGTTTGTACTATTAAAATATCTAATTCAAAACTAAAATAAATATTCTCTGTTTATGTAATCTATAAAAAAAGAGAGAGGTGTCAGCCGATCTCATTATCGTTCTCTCAGCTCATTATTCTGCTAATGTGACACGCCCACGGACAGCGCGCGCTATTCAGACGCAAATGATCTGAAGCGACACATGCAAACGTGTCAACGCCCCTCATAAACGCGATACCACAACAAATTTAATCATCAGATTTATGTACCTTTTCTTCTTGCGAGGCTGACTGTGAGCAGTAATCCTGGGACATTTACCTCAGAACATGTGCTGGTTTATTTTCATTTTGAGGAGCGACCGATCTAGCTGAGAATTGTGAGTAGCCTAAGTTTTTTATTCTTGTGCTTTGTTCTAATGTCTGTAAATGCAAAAAGACTGTTTAAATTTTGAATTGCTCGGGATAATTTCGAAACTCCTTAATAAGGAGTTGTAACTCCTTCCTCTCGGCGCAATCTCAGGATTTTATGGACCCAATATATCCTCTTTCCTTTTCTCTTTTTTAAGAGAGAGGGCAACAAAATCATCCTCACTGCTTGACGAATCCATTTTGTATTTTTGCGTTTTTTTCCGCAAAGGTTTAATAAATACGCATCGGACTCAGTGTGCAAGGTTTCTGTGCGTGACGAATTTTTAGGCTGACAAGCACGAAAAAACGCATACGAAAATTTCGGACTCAATGTGCAATGGCCTTAAGTCTAACAGTGATAAGATCACAGAGTCACCAGCGTCAGTCGCTAACAATATATCATTAGAAACCCTTAGTAGAGCAGACTCGGTGCTGTGCAGAGGCTTCAAACCAGACTGGAAAGTTTCAAGAATTTGATTTGAGTTAAGATAAGACTGGAGTTGATTGAGAACCGTTTTCTCCAATGCTTTTGTAATAAAAGGAAGGGTCGAAATAGGTCGAAAATTATTAAAATCCCTAACATCGAGTGAGGGTTTCTTGAGCAGAGGTGTAACAGTAGCTTCTTTTAATATATCAGGGATAGTCCCTGTACTCAAGAATGTATTCATAAGAGACACCAAACATGGTCCAAACGAATCAAAAGTTTGTTTCAAGATACGGGGAGAAAGAACATCAAGAGAGCAGAAGGAAGGTTTCAAATGATCAACAATTTCTCTGAGAGATAGAAGAGAAATAGGGTCAAAGACACTCCATATGGCTGAAGAACAGCCCAGTTCAGGCGAGACATTAGCAACTGAGATCTTAGAGAGGAGATCTTCTCACAGAAAAACCTTGAGAAACCTTCACATAATGATACTGAAGGATTTGAAATCACAATTATAGGAGGATTGAGAGCAGACTTTAACACAGAAAATAAGGCTTTTGAACTATGATGATTTTTTTAAAAATTAAATTAGAAAAATACTTAGACTTAGCAGATATCATAGCTTTCTGAAAAGCACTGAGGGAGTGTTTCAGCATTTCATAAGAAATTTGTAACTTATCACTTTTCCATTTACGTTCTGCTCTTCTACATGCTCGCCTCAGAGCGCGGATGGTATCCAGGCCGTATCCAGATCTGACGAAGGATATTCGCCTGGACCCGATGACAATGCAGTGCTGAAGTGTCAACTATCCTCTCCCTATGGAGGATCCCTTTCCCACTCTACAGATAAAGCGTTGTTGAAAATCCGGTTTGCGTACCCCGAAGTGATAAAATAAAATTCGGTATCAAATTTATAGGCAAGACAAGTAGTTTGTTTAGGCATGGTTTGTAGAGAAATTACAAACCTGCGCACACATATTCAAACGAATGTAACTATAGAATCAATTTTTAATGCGCATGTGAACGCCATCAGGTCACAGGTTCGCGTTTAAAGTCTGTTTAGAGAGAACGCCGTCGTCTTAGTGGCCCCTAATGTAATAACAAATGATAATTTTGCTGGAAGTGAATCAATCAAAACCAACTTTAGCCGAAAATAACATTATTCAAAATCGATATAAAGCCAAAACAATCTCTGTTACCGTAAATTGTATGTTTGTCTCTGTAAAGCTGCTTTGAAACAATCTCCATTGTTAAAAGCGCTATATAAATGAAGATGACTTGACTTGACTTGACTATCCTTAAGCCATGGTTCAGCCTTAGGTTTTGACTTCTTAGCTTTTAAAGGAGCAGTGCTATTTCAAACCTCAGAGCATACAATATTAAGCAGACTAAGATGTTCTTCAGCATCCAAGTCGGGTAAGGGTGACTCCATGGACCGAGACAGACACACCTCATTAAAGGAGTTAGTGAATTCATCATGGAAACAGGGAGAAAAGGAACGAGTCCAATGTACAATAGATGAAATGTGCGATCTTGTAGGAGGAAGGGTACTGTAGAATATAAACAGAACAGAGTGACAGTAGCTGCTAAAACTGTTTCTTAAAATTACCGCTAGACCACCTCTGCGGCCAGAAGAGCGGGGAGAGTTAAAGAATGTGCAGCCTTCCGGAATCAACTCAGCAAAAGGACTTAAATCACCAACCTTCATCCAAGTTTCTGTGATGCACATAGAATCCAATGTGTGGGTAGTGAAAAAGTCATTTAAAATGAACGTCTTATTGACTAGCGACCGAGCATTAATCAGAGACATCTTGGAAGGTGATACCGAGTCAGAGACCGCGGGAGAGAGGACTCTATTCAAAAAACGAAGATTCTCTAGAGTAGCTCCACCACGACGAACACGGATAAAAGGGTAGCAGGGGATTGTCGAAGGAGAATCCGGGAGAACTGTCCGAAGCCAGCGAACAGGTGGATCAAGCAGACGCCAACCAGCACTCCTGCGGCGCTTTCTGCGGGGAACCCCATTAGGCCAACTGCGCTGATATTCTGGAATATCCCAGGTAGAGTTTGGAGAGCAGTATTCTGATCCAGCCACAGAGCTTTTTGACTCTGGGTTATATGTGGCCACAAAAGAGTCTCGAATATCCAGAAGTAACTGGCGATCATAAACCAGAAGCGAGTAGCAGTTTGATGCAGATAAAAACACAAATATAGCACAGAGAAGCAGAGACGTCAGACGGTCTTTATAATAATAGTATCATTATTTCTAATACAACATTTCAAATGGTCATAGAAGTACTGGGATAAAAGTTTAAAGTTAAAATATAAACACTGATATCTATGGTAGCCAGTGGCGGTTCTAGAGGGAGGCCGGGGGGGGGGGGGGGGGGGGGGGCAGTGCCCCTGTGACAAAAAGCTTGGCCCCCCTTGTGGCCCCCCTAAATGTGGAGTTTGAAATAATTTTTACAAAACTGTTTTTTGCTATCGTTGTATGCGTATTATTTTTTATTTTTCTATCTTTGTGGATTTGCATTTTCACGTGACAATTCGCATCACATTCGCGGGAATCGCGGCAGAATAACGCCTGTCTCCTGCACGCGAGAGAGGAGAGAAGGAGAAAGTTGGTAAATGTCAGTTCAGTTGTAAGTTCATTCTTTATGTGCGTATGGGGTGTGCGATGTGTATTGTCTATTATGATATTGTAATCATTGTTTTAACTATGTACGAGGCACTGTGAGCTGACATAGCATTTGTCTATCGTCCTTTCACTGCTGTGTGCAGTTCATATAGGCTATGTCCCCAAATTAGTTTTTGTCTTATATTTATATCATATTATGTTCTTATATTAGAATATCACATCAGCAAGAGTGCCGTTTTCCCGTGCACAATTGCAACTGTGATATTTATGTTATACAACAGTTAAATTAACAATAAGTTAACATTGGGAGTTACTTTTTAGACACAATATTGTCAATATTGTTTGTTTTCCCTTTATTTCGCCGACTAGAATTTCATAATGAAACCGTAGTGAGTCTCAATGCTACACAGCGATGATTTATTGACTGAAATCCGCGTTTTGAACGAATCACTTGCTTCTTTCCCGAATAAATCAGCCGAATCGTTTGAATGAATGAATCCCTCTTACAGGGACTTGCCGCCGCCTACTGCCGGTTTTAGTTTCATATTTAAAGTATCCTTTAATTAAAACGTTAAAATTAGAAATAATTTCATATTTAAATATTGATTTAAAAAAAATCTCATAGCTTTATTAATGCAATTGTAAATGGAGTGTAAATATATTAATGCCACTTCTGTGTCACCTCTGCACTGCAAAGATGGATTTTGATTGAATTAATTAATTTGACTGGTAACAGTGGTACTGTATAATTATTGTATAATTAAGTATTATTGTATAAATAAGTATATAATTACTGTATAATTTGAATGTTAGTATTTGACATAAAAGGTGATGCATAACTCTAAATAAGTTTAGAAAAAATGTCCATATATAGGTGAAAATGCCCCTGGAAATCAATTTAAGGTGGCAAATATTGCCCCTTAATTAAAAAATGTATTTCTGTCACTGCTGTGAACTGACCACTGCATAGAATATGAAAAATATTAATATATTCGTGAGTCAGCTGTCAACAACAGGCCTAAACCAGCCATGGCACCAGTGCAAAAACACAATCAGTAAAATATTATCTAATTATTAACAAAATGTTGAAAATATTGAAATATATTTTTGTCAATATTGCACACCCCTAATGTACGGTATTAATTTTGATTTCTTTAGGTCTTAAAAAGCCTTAAATTTGACTTTAAAAAGTGTGCAGGAACCCTGTAAACGGTCAGACATATCAAGTCAGTTATTTTCAGTAAATGAATTAATAAGCTTCTTGGTCCCCATTGCTTTTGCTCTATAGTTCTCAAAATGAAGAGAAAGAAGGACATCATGTCTATTAAAGTTACTGTGACTAATACTGAATATGTAATGCAAATGTAAAAATATAATGGAAATGCAAATACATTGTTGAATGATTATAAACACGGTATTTTGCCTTTTAATGCCTGCAGCAGTGCAGAAAATGATATGACAACAATAAGGTCTAAATGTAACTGGCCCCTCTAACAGTACAACTGGCCCCAGCTTGGCCCCCCCAGTTGAAATGGGCTAGAACCGCCACTGGTTCTCAGCTCCACACACACAGGAACCCAGACCATCCTCTCCCACTACCAAAAACCTTCCCTTTACCTTCTCTTCACTAACCGAGGAAGAAGTATCTAAACTTCTTCTCTCCAGTCATCCTACCACCTGCCCTCTAGACCCCATCCTCCCACAACTTCTACAAGCCATCTCTTTCACACTTCTACCAGCCCTCACACACATCATCAACTCATCCCTCCACACTGGCATTTTCCCTACAGCATTCAAGCAGGCTCGGGTAACTCCACTGCTAAAAAAAACACATTAAACACATCACTTTTAGAGAATTACAGACCTGTCTCTCTCCTACTATTCATTGCAAAAACACTTGAACGAGTTGCTTTCAACCAAGTATCATCTTTCCTGTCTCTGACCAACCAGCTGGATGTCAACCAATCTGGCTTCAAGAAAAGACATTCAACCGAGACTGCACTACTGTCAGTCACCGAAGCACTGCGGATCGCAAAAGCTGCTTCCAAATCTTCAGTTCTCATCCTGCTGGATCTTTCTGCTGCCGTCGACACTGTGAATCATCAGATCCTTCTGTCCACCCTCTCATCACTGGGCATCAAAGGAACTTCCCTCCACTGGTTTGAGTCCTATCTCACAGGTAGGTCCTTCAGGGTCGCATGGAGAGGCGAGGTATCCAAAGCACATCAACTGACCACAGGGGTTCCCCAGGGTTCAGTGCTTGGACCGCTTCTCTTCTCCATTTACACCACATCACTGGGACCCATCATACAGGCACATGGTTTCTCTTACCATTGCTATGCTGATGACACCCAGCTCCACCTCTCATTTCAACCAGATGATCCCACAGTAGCTGCACGTATCTCAAGCTGTCTGGCGGACATCTCGGCATGGGTGAAAGAGCATCACCTGCAGCTCAACCTGGCAAAGACTGAGCTTCTCGAGTAATATTTGATGACCAGCTGTCCCTCACAGACCACATTACGAAGACAGCTCGATCATGCAGGTTTGCAATGGATAACATCAGGAAGATCAGGCCTTTCCTAACGGAGCATGCATCACAACTTCTCGTCCAGGCCCTGGTCATTTCTAGGCTTGATTACTGCAATGCTCTTCTGGCTGGACTTCCATCATGTGCAACTAAACCTCTACAAATGATCCAGAATGCTGCAGCTCGTCTTGTCTTCAACGAGCCCAAAAGGGCCCACGTCACTCCTCTGTTCATCTCTCTGCACTGGCTACCACTCGCTGCTCGCATCAAGTTCAAGGCTTTGACGCTTGCTTACAGATCTACCACAGACTGAGCTCCGTCCTACTTTCACTCAATCCTACAAGTCTACACCTCTACCATAAGCCTACGATCGGTCACTGAGCGACGGCTCGTGGTACCGTCACAGCGAGGCACTAAATCACTCTCCAGAACATTCTCATTCACGGCTCCATGCTGGTGGAACGATCTCCCCACCCTCATCCGGAATGCAGAATCACTGACAGCATTCAAAAGACAACTGAGAACTCATCTCTTTTGGGAGCACTTAACATAAATAAAAATTAAAAATAAAATAAATAAAAAACCTTTCCTTCTCCTTTAAATACTCCCTTGTCTGTTTTTTTCCTACTCTGAGCAATGCCTGAACTTTGTATTTTAAGCACTTCTTGCGTTGTTCTTGCCTCTTTACGATGACTCGCTTGCTTTAGTCCTCAGTTGTAAGTCGTTTTGGATAAAAGCGTCTGCTAAATGACTAAATGTACATGTAAATGTGGTCTGTTTGTACAAGCATTACAAGGCAAGTCGATTTACACCAAACATTTGTGCTTTAAAAACCCTTCACTGTATCCTGCATCTGTTGTCTGGTTTGTAGTTTGTCCGGTTTATTTAACTGTTAGTTTTACTTTCTTTGGGGAATAATAATATAGTGAGATGTAAATGTTCCTCTTCAGGGAGACTCCTCACCGTTGTCTTCTACCGCCGGCAGGATCTGACGATTCAAGCAGGAATCTGTCGCTGCACCACCGGATGGGGCTTACGCCAAAGATATATTGTATACACTATTTACATATTATTACTTATTCACTCAGAGTCTTTATGATAGAGATGATCTTACCACAGTCTCTCCAGTTTACAGTGAGGATCCTCCAGTACAGCAGAGAACAGCTTCACTCCTGAGTCTCCTAGTTTATTGTCAGACAGATCCAGAGATCTCAGGTGTGAGGGGTTTGATCTCAGAGCTGAAGCCAGAGCAACACAACTTTCATCTGTGATTCCACAATCATACAACCTGTAGAGAACAATGACACACATTAAGCCTATATCCAGAGATAAACATAACAATAAAAATATAGTTGCAAGCAGCAATGACGGGCCCAAGCCGGTGGCACCGCCCCCCCGCTGCCTTTAGGACAACTGTGCATGACGGGCAATATGAATGAAACACAGTAAATGTAAAAGAACCACATCAAAGTCGCCTGAATACGCCACATTTACTGCAGCAGATGGTGCCACTATGACTGTGAACCACAACAGCCACATCCATGAGATCATTTAAATGGATTTCATGCCATTGAATGTCATAGTTCACTTTAAAATTAGTGCAAAGTTATCTTTTGCATGAGGACATTTTTTATCTCAAGGTCTTTTTTTATATTTTTATTAATCTAATTATCAAACCAAATAAACGGATCTATGACTTATCTTTATTAATCAAACTTGTTAAGAAGAGACCAGGACTAATACAGTTCTCATCCTTTAATGCAGGCCAAATGCACACAGCAATGGAAGGGTTAAACTCTTGGAGTGTGTGTGTGTGTGTGTGTGTGTGTGTGTGTGTGTGTGTGTGTGTGTGTGTGTGTTTGTGTGTGTGTGTGTGTGCGCCCCCCCCCCCCTCTCTATATATATATATATTAGGAAGGGACAAGAAAAAGAGAATTTCACTTCCCCTGCACTGTTCAGTATCCAAGGATTTATTTCAGTCACACTGGTTGAATTTTTGGCTAAAAAGTCACTGAATCGTTTCGGATCGTATCGCTCTAAATTAACCAATATCGTCCTTGAATCGTATCGACAACCACGAATCGTGATACGAATCAAATAGTTGTTCAAATGAATCATGCGACCCATGAACGCCTCTCTAAACTACTTCGTGATTTTACAGTTTGAAGCGTCTGTCATATAAAAACACCATGTGCTGTCATAAATAAGAGGAATGTATTCTCATAGGATAAGAACACACAGTCTCATTGTGACCAGGGGGGCGTGGTTTTCGCGAAGTCTGTGGTGAGAGAGGAGTCAATAAGCTGTGCGGTGAGTAAGCGGGTCAAGTGCAGATGATGAACACCTGTGTCTGATTGCAGTGATTGGCGTGGAAAGACAGATATAAGCCGCGCAGATTGAGAATGCGGGTGAGAGAGAAAGGACTGGGACTTGTGCGGCGATCGAGAGGAAAGAGTGCTGTAGAAAGCAACGAGAGCTGAATCAGCTTGGAAAGAGTTTTGATTGAAGTTGTGCTGTGCTGTAGAGAAACTACGGTGAATGCGCTGTGTGCGCGCCTTTTATTTTGTTTGATTCTGAGTTAATAAAGTCCGTACGAGTCCCAGTATCGCCGACCCTGTGTTTTTCTTCCTCACCCACAAACGAACTTTGCTACACTCATTAATAACACACACACTGACGTGTCATCGATGTACTATAGTGTTTCTCCATGTCATAATCTGTGACGTAGATTTGAAACCTGGAGAAAAATCTCTACAATATCCAGTTTTCTCCTAAAATTACAATGAATGGACTGTGTTAATCCTGACTGTGCTGAGATCGAGTGTGTTTAAAGTAAAGGGTGTTAAATGTATATCATGATGTTTGTCAGTGTGACTAGCAGTCCTGCAGTTTCAGCTTAATGAGGAGCAGCTCATGTGTTCATCATTTACAGATCAAACACATGTACTCACAGTGCAGGAGAAATACAGCAAACGCTTCACACTGAAACATATTAATTCTTTTACATCATATGAACAGATGTGAAATTAATTTGATGAATTTGATCATGTTGTTTCAATAGCTTTGCTTTTAATGAATGTAATAATAGTTATTTCCCTGCATTTTATTCCATTTTGATTTAAAAGCTGAAGTGTGACATTCATATTATTTGTTAAATCATTGATTTATAATGTTTAAGTAAGAACTGTTATAATGTATTAACAGTGATGTTTGTTCTCAGTGTTACTTACCGAGCGTATCTAGTTGCTGTAACCACCGGCATCAGCTTCTTAAGAACTTCATCTGCTGAGTTTTTATTGCCACTAATTGAAAATAAAAAAATAAATAAGTTAATTATTAATGCTAACAATAATAATTCATAACATAAATAATACACTATACCTTCCTAAAAACCCTCAAATATTTTCAATTAAACACTGCTTTATAAAGGACATGTGAAAAAGTTGAGTAGGCTATCTATAACTGTAGAAGCCTCGTATTCAGCAACACAGATTTGTTTTTTCTTTCTTTATCTTGTCAATGTCCCTTTTGTCCTGTCAAATGCGTATATTTTCATGAATAAAGAAGTATTTTGTGTTTAACAAGTTGTAGGCTATTTGAAATGATAAAGTCACACGCGTAGCTCCCACCGCTGGGGAAGCCGCACTGCGCCCGCGCGCACACACAGCCCCCTCGATTAGTTCCGGAATGACACACACCGGAGTTATGTTTGGGACTATTTTACACCTTCATCACGACTATAAGTTTGCGTGTGCTTTCGCAGCCTTTTGTTTTGTGCAAATATAGCGTTTTGAGCAGCATTTGCAGACCCTGTCATGCTGTTGGCCATATGCCACTGCAGCAGTCATATTGCAGTATTAAGGCGAACGATTAATCAATGAATTGATCGTTAATCTAAATGATTTAAACGACTATCGATCATGGGAATTTGAGAAATTTGACATCCCTAGTTTGGGGGATATTTACCAAGGTCGCTGGTTCGCGTCTCCCCGGCCCCCAGACGCCTCATCTGGATTTCCGCTTGCGAGCAGTTTATATAACTGCCAAGCACGTTACAGGCGCACAAAATCAAATTGCAGACTCTCTCTCGTTTCTCTTTTCAGAAATTCAGGACGCTGGCGCCAGAAGCGGATTCAATTCCAACTCCAGTCACTCATTATTCTCAGCCGATCCTCCCATAAACCATCCGCTAAAACCCCTTCTGTATACCTCTATCGATTCCATCCTCCAAGCACTTCCTTCGCTGCTCCGAATTAGCATTTACGTCTAAATTCGATTAGAATATCCACCCTACAATTTCAGACTTGCAGATCGTAGATAACGAAACATTATCTTTCTTCATTAAAGCAAAACGGATAGTGTAAAGAAAGGTAACTTAGTTTACATTTTCAATTTGCTAACTCCCATTCAACCGTATCATTCTCTTATAAACTACTTGCAGCATAGACGTTCTAATCCCAACTCGATCCACTCTTTGCTGTCGATTTCAATCATCCAGCCACAGGTTTCTGGTTCCAAAAAACATCTTAAAGCAGTTCTCATCCAGTCCGGCATTGCAGCAAACCAATTTTCAAGTCATTCTTTTCGCAACGGAGCAGTAACCACAGCCGCACAAAAAGGTCTCTCCCAGCAACAAATTCAAACCCTTGGTCGCTGGTCATCTGAAGCTCTCATTACCTACGTCAGATCCAGCCGCTTCCACATCAGAAACGCTCACCAAGCACTAACCTATTAATTCGTTAATTCCCACCACCTGTTGCGCTCCATTCATTGTCACTCTCCAAACCACTTCAACCATTTCTGGCCCACCGTATTCACGCCCGTTTCAATAAGTATGTCTAATATACCGTGTATTTTTACAATTGCAGGCTCCCCCGTTTCGTACGCAGTGATGGCTCCTCGTTCGTAGGCCGGGCCCTGTCCCCCTCCCGAAGCGCTGGTCGAGCCCTCCCGTCCGAATCGCAGTGAGAGCCTGCCTGTCTTAATCGTCGTTGGACGGCCGCGCTCGCGTCGCTGTGCGGGCTCCCCGTTCGTTGGGCGATGAGGAGTCTATTTCCGTGTCCCAGCCCCCTTCGAAGCGCTGGTCGAGCTCCCCGACCGAGTTCACCGGACGCCCTGCGTTCGATCGCTGGCAGGGCTTACCCGTCTAATGCTGCGAGCACCCAAGCTCCCGTTGGATGCCGCGAGAGCCCTCCCGGTCAAACGGCTAAATCTCGTTTTTCCCGAAGCATGCTGCGCAATTTTCGCATTGTACTAGAGCTTCAGTTCAACTGCTGGCGGGGCTTACCCGTCCGATGCCGCGAGCTTCAAAGCCCCATCGGACGCTGCGAGAGCCCTCCCGGTCGAACGGCTAAACTCGTTTTTTCCTGACGCATGCCCGTGCAATTCTAGCGTTGTACTAGAGCTTCAGTTCGACTGCTGGCGGGGCTTACCCGACCAATGCCGCGAGCTTCAAAGCCCCGTCGGACGCTGCGAGAGCCCTCCCGGTCGAACGGATAAACTCGTTCCATAATCAAGCTCATTTAAATCCGGCGTCATCGAGCTGTCAGTTCAACTGCTGGCGGGGCTTATCCGTCCAAAGCCGCGAGCATCCAAGTTCCCGTCAGATGTTGCGAGCGCCCTCACGGTCGAACGGTCAAGCTCGTTCTTTAGTAAATACCTTCTCATGCCTTTCACTTTTTGGGGGGTCTAATTCCGCATAATTTTACGAGTGCTGTCCCGAGTTATGGGGGCTTTTATGGGGGAGTATTATGGGTTCGGGCCGAATTCCGAGCTCGAAGCCCTTCCCCCGGACAGCACGCCAAATACGCATTAAACTTTCTCCCTATAATTATATGTAAGTGTGAACTAGTGAAAAGGTCTGAAAGCTACTTTACTGTGTCAGAGTCTTATTCAAAACCTTTACAATGGCGACGAGGATTTAACTTTTACTCTCCCCTCCTCGAACATGGAAGCTGCACCGCCGTCATTCCCTGCTTTTGATATCACTGACGATCAAAACTCCTCCATCCGCTGGAAGAAGTGGTTACAGCGCTTTGAAAACTTCATTGTTGCTCTGGATATAAATGATGATACAAGGAAATGTGCAATGCTTTTGCATTATGCTGGGGATGGTGTACAGGACATTTTTGACAAACTTTCTGACACCGGAGAAGCAAAGGACTATAAATGCGCAAAAGACAAGCTAAGTGAGTATTTTTCCCCTAAAATCAACATCACCTATGAGACTTACAAATTCAGACAAGCTCAACAACTAGCAGGGGAAACACTTGACTCCTATCGCGTACGGCTACGGCACTTAGCAGCAACATGTGACTTTTCGGATGTTGAAAGAGAGATTAAAACTATGATTATTCAAACATGCGTGTGTAATAAATTGCAGTGTCAAGCACTACAGAAACCAGAGATGACGTTGACGGGACTCCTGTCACTCGGCAGAACCATAGCACTTACTGAGATTCAAGCATCAGGAATGGAACAAACACAACAAGATGCAGCACAAGAAAATCCACGGGAAAACATTATAGCTGTTGAAATGGGAAGAGGGGCGGGAAAGAAAAGATGCTACAACTGCTCCGGTACATTTTCACACATTTAGAGAATGGTATGCCCAGCATGGGGTAAATGATGCGATGCTTGAGGAAAACAAGGACATTTTGCCAAATGTTGTCGCTCTAAATGTCCACAAAACCGCATCAGAGACAGACATGAAGTGCACTATGTACACACCAGTGGAATCAGGAGCATTACAACCCAAGCAGCAGGTCCCGCAGACACAGAGTCCTCGGAGGGATATGTATACACAGTTACCAGACTAAAAACAAAGATAATATGCAAAGATAAAGGTTAGTGACTGTAAGATACAAGTGATGCTTGATTATGGGGCAACTGTAAATATCAATATTACAGTTGATATTTGATATTTATTACAGTTGAGACATAAGCCCTCACTCACTAAATGCACAGTTCCCATCTTTCCGTATGGTTCAAGTACCGCACTGCCTACCCTGGGAAAATTCACCTCACTGGTGGAATCCAAATCACGATTCACAAATGCAACCTTCCAAGTACTTCAAGGCAGTAATAGCAGTTTACTTGGCTATGACACTGCCAGTCAATTGGGACTAATATAAGTCTAACACAGACCTTAAACCAGATGGAGATGAATGCAATAGGTGATCTCCTCACTGAGTATGGTGACCTCTTTTGTGGGATGGGAAAATTAAAGGACAGAAGTCAAGCTGCACATAAAGAAAGACGTTCCTCCAGTCACGCAACCTCACAGAAGAGTACCGTTCCATATCAGGAAGCGAATTGAAGCTGAATTACAACGTTTAGAGGAACTTGACATCATCGAAAAAGTGGACGGGCCCACTCCATGGGTTTCTCCAATTGTTCCTGTTCCAAAGCCAAAAGACCCAGAAGCAGTGCGCATTTGTGTGGACATGAGGATACCAAATCAAGCCATCGAACGAGAAAGACATCTCACACCTACAGTAGATGACGTAATACAAGCGCTCAATGGAGCCAGGTTCTTCTCAAAACTGCATTTAAACTGTGATATAATCAGCTGGAACTGGAGCCATCATCACGATATATCACAACATTCTCCACTCATGTAGGACTGCGACGTTACAAAAGACTGAGCTTCGGAGTTTCCTCGGCCACAGAGGTATTTTAAAACGGCATTCAGCAAGCCCTGGATTGTATCCAAGGAGTCATTAATCTGAGTGATTACCTTCTGGTGTTTGGCAGAAGGAAGGTTAGTCATGATCAAGCTTTAAAGGCAACATTTCAGCGACTTAAAGAGTAGAACCTGCCTCTTAACAAGGCAAAATGCACAACCCACTTTAGACTTCTTCGGCTACACATTCTCAGATGGGGGTTTCTCTCCAGATCCCAAGAAAGTTCAGGCGCTACATGATGCTGCTGCCCCAACCAATGCCAGCGAGGTCCGCAGCCTTCTCGGCATGGCAAACTACAGTGCCCGCTTCATCAAAGATTTTGCCAGTGTAACTCAACCGTTGAGGGAACTTACAAAAAACATGTTCGGTGGACTTGGACAGAGGAACATCATAAGTGCCTTGATGAAATGAAACAAAGTCTAACAAGTGATGCTGTCATGACCTATTTTGACCAGTACAAATTAACTGAGCTGGTGGTTGATACAAGTCCTGTGGGTCTTGGGGCCGTGTTGGCACAGAGAAATGGCCCACATGAACCAGCCAGAGTGATAAGCTATGCAAGCAGAGCCTTGTCACTCATTAAATCGAAGTATTCACAAACCGAATGTGAGGCTCTCGCCATTGTGTTGGGCTGTGAACATTTTCACATGTATCTTAATGGGGCGTCATTTACCCTTTTCAGTGACCACAAACCTTTGGAATGGATTTTCAATAACCCCAAATCCAAGCCGCTTGCTTGTATAAAACACTGGAGTCTACGCCTTCAGCCTTACAACTACACAGTCCGTTACAAGTCTGGCAAGGATAACCCAGTGGATTACATGTCACGCCACCCCACACGTTTCACATGGCTTTCAGGAAGTTTTAAACATTAATCAACAAGTGGAAGAATATGTGAACTTTCTTACTGCAAACGCCGTCCCTCAGGCAATGCCATTAACAGAAATTCAGAATGCAACAACAGCTGACCCCAAAGTCATCCAATTCATCAAAGGAGGCTCATGGGAGTCTCTGTCTGAAAAACAGGATGTTGCCGATGGAGTTGATGGTACTGCAATGAAATCATTCCATAAAATCAAAGATGAACTGACAGTAACCGCAACTGATTGACCGACACTGTACTGCATGGCACAAAGATCGTTATCCCCAGTCTTTACAAGTCAATATCACTTGCACACGGAGACCACCAGAGGTTACTCAAAACAAAGAAACTTATCAGGGAGAAAGTTTGGTTCCCTGGCATTGACAGACAGGTGGAAACCATGATAGCAATCACACACAAGAACCTCTCTGCATGTCTGAGCTGCCTTCATCACCATGGGAAAAAGTTGGTGCAGACTTTTGTAGTCCGTTGCCCTCCGGTGATTACCTTTTGGTGGTTATTGATGAATACTCCAGGTATCCAGAGGTGGAGATTCTGCAGTCCACGTCAGCCAGAGTCACAATTTCTAAACTAGACAAAATATTCTCAACACTGGGAATTCCGCTTGAGGTCAAAACAGATAATGGTCCACCTTTCCAAAGCTCAGAATTGACAGATTTCGCAACATATCTAGGCTTCAGACATAGGAAGATAACTCCACTCTGGCCTCAGGCTAATGCAGAGGCTGAATGTTTTATGTGTACCCTTAAAAAAGGCTATACGTGCTACACATGTTGAAGGTCGCCCATGGAAACACTCTATACGCGTTCCTCTGCAATTACTGTACCACGCCTCACTGCTCGACTGGAATGGCTCCTGCCGATGTGCTGTTTGGGAGACGAATCAAGCTACCTGGATCTCCTCTTTCCTTCCAGTCTCTGACGGACGCACCACTACGACAGGCAGATGCCCTGGCAAAGAACAGGATGAAACAAAATTGCTGACCGGATGCGCCGTGCTGCTCCGGTGGCTTTGAGAGAGGGCGACGTGGTCCTGTGTCGTCAAAAGAAGGAAGGGAAGCTATGCCCTGCCTACAACCCCCAGCCGTACAAGGTTATTGCTGTCAAAGGTTCCATGGTGACAGCCAAACACAATAATCATGTCATCACCAGAAATACATCTCACTTCAAGACTCTACCAGCAAATGCAAATCACCCCTCTCAGTCCTGTGGTTTGAAAGTCATGAGTGGTGGACGAGATGCCATGAACTGAACTGAAACTCTTCCTAAACAAACCCCAGAACCTGTAGCCCCTGACCCCCCGGGGTCACAGTCACCTGTTCGTAGATACCCAGTCAGGATGAATAGAGTAACGAAAGGAGGGTTGTAATGTCTATGGTTTATAACACGTGATGTTATGTTATATTATTTCCACATGTCATGTGTTTTAGTTTGAAAGCAGACATTTTTTATCCAGTCCACTAGGGGGCGTTTTAGTTTCATAGCAACGCATGCGGCGTTGTGACCATAGACTGTAAAAAAGGGTGCGACACTGGTGGCTGGTGTTGCCAGATTGTGTGTTTTTTCCGCTACATAATAAGGCCCGTTTACGGTGTGTTTTAGCCGGGTTTTCGCCTGAAACGCTCTAGAGAAATTTGGCATCCTATTGAACGAAGTTAAACTGAGAGTGCTGCCGTTCAGAGACACCAGAATGACGAGTTCACAGTAACGTTCATCAGGCAGTGATACAGTACATTCAGTTCACGTTCGCCCAAAATATGAACGCGTTCAGGCACAACACTGACTAGCTTTTTTATTAATGCAATGACAGCTGTCTGTGTCTCCCAGTGTCTTACATTATTGTCAGTTTAGTGTTTAGTGATTAATTCACACAGAAACAAAAGATAACATGTATGCCTTTATCTTCAAATACATTATCTGTGTCTTAAATTTCACAATGAACTCAGATAAACTCAGTGCCGACCCGTTTTCCATCAGTTATTTTACATGAACTGGAATGTGTGCAAAGGATTGTGGGAGATTGAAGAACACAAAGGATACACTTGATCTATCCTTCAAAAAATGAAGTCTGTCTTCAAAAGATCCTTCAAACTGAGACGGCCTTCAGAGGCGCTTGATGACGTGGCAGTCGAGATATGCAGCCTTACTAGGACACAGCCACGGTTAGAGAAACACCCGCAAATTTTCTACAATATCCCAGAAATCAGTCTGTGCCTCGTGATTTAAACACCTCTGATCTCTGAGTTTCTCTTTGTTCATAATGTTTTAGACTGTAATGATTGCACTCAGTGTTACCTACCGATGAAATATGTATCCCATAAATCTGTTCAGGTCAAACTCCTTCAGTGTCTTCTCTGAGGACAACAACACAAACACTAAAGCTGACCACTGAGACGAGGAGAGTTTCACATCACATACTCCTCCACACCACATGCTCGTATGAGGTTTAGCTTCGTTCACTAGAGAAAGATCACCCAGTTCATTCAGACAGTGAAACAGATTGATGTATTTTTCTGGAGAGGGACTCTCACTGATCTTCTCTTTAATATAGTCAACTGTTTCCTCATTGTTGTGAGAGCTGTTTGCTGTCTGTGTCTTTAGTTCTTGTAAGAGACTCTGATTAGACTTCACTGACAGACCCAGAAGGAAACGAAGGAAAAGGTCCAGATGCCCATTTCTACTGTGTAAAGCCTCATCCACAGCTCTCTGATGGAGATCAGATAGGGACACTGTGCCTCCATTAGTTGATTTGGTAATCTGGTCAAACACATTGATGTTATTGTTGATAAAGGAGAGATGCACATATAGAGCTGCTAGATGTTCCTGAATGCTCAGATGAACAAAGCTGAAGACTTTCCCCTGACACAAGCCCAACTCCTCTCTGAAGATCTGAGTGCACAATCCTGAGTAAACTGATGCTTCTGCCACATCAATGCCACACTCGCTCAGGTCTTCCTCATAGAAGATCAGGTTGCCTTTCTCAAGCTGCCGATACGCCAGTTCCCCCAGTTTGACAATCATGTCTTCATCTTTCACTTTCTTCTCATAGTCCTTCTCATGTTTGATGTTGGTCTGAATGAGCAGGAAGTGTGTGTACATTTGAGTGAAAGTCTTGGGAATCTCTCCTCTCTCTGCTTCACTCCACATCTTCTCTAGAACAGTGGCTGAGATCCAGCAGAACACTGGGATGTGGCACATAATAAAGAGGCTCCTTGAGGACTTCAGGTGTGAGATGATCCTGCGGGCCAGACTCTTATCACTGATTCTCTTCCTGAAGTATTCCTGCTTCTGTGTGTCACTGAAGCCTCGTACCTCTGTCACTCGATGGACACACTCAGAGGGGACGAGATCCGCTGCTGCTGGTCTGGAGGTGATCCAGATGAGAGACGAGGGAAGCAGATTCCCCACAATGAGGTTCGTCAGCAGCTCGTCCATTGAGGCTGATTCAGTCACATCACACAACCTCACATCGCTCTGAAAATCCAGACACAGACGACACTCATCCAGACCATCAAAGATGAACAGCACTTTATACTCATCACTGGATATGGCCATTTCTCTGCTTTCAGGGAAGAAGCGATGAAGAAGATCTGAAAGACTGAGTGTTTTGTCCTTCATCAAGTTGAGCTCTCTGAAAGCGAGTGGGAATATGAGCTGGACGTCCTGATTCTCTTTCCCTTCAGCCCAGTCCAGGATGAACTTCTGCACAGAGACTGTTTTTCCAATGCCAGCGACTCCCTTTGTCAGCACAGTTCTGATGGGTTTGTCTTGTCCAGGTAAAGGTGTAAAGATGTCACTGCATTTGATCGGTGTGTCCGCTGTTTCTGCTCTCCTGGACTGTGTCTCAATCTGTCTCACCTCATGCTCATTATTGATCTCTCCACTTCCACTCTCTGTGATGTAGAGCTCTGTGTAGATCTCATTCAGGAGTGTTGGGTTTCCCTGCTTTGATATTCCCTCACACACACACTCAAACTTCTGTCTCAGATTTGATCTCAATGTGTTGAGAACTTGTTTAGAGTCATGGCTGTAAGATTAAAATACCACATTATTACACAAGTTAGAGAAATAAATAACCATAAATGAAAACATTTTCCATCATTAATCATGTGTTTGTGTGATGTGAATTGCAGCACCTAAAATTGAACAACATCAACTAAAGTCCTGCATTTTACCTGAAACCAGGACACATGCTTTCATTAAAGTTTTGTGGTTGAATCACAGGCTTGAACACAGTTTTGTTTTTAACTGGTCTGGGTGGAAGATTTGACCTTAAATCAGAATGAAGAGAATAAAGAATCAGACACACTGAAATTGATGTAATTTTGTCATTAACTGAGTAACAGACCAATAGGTTTTACAGTGTGTGAATGTATTAACAATACAATACATAGAGCTTTACACAAGAGCACAATGATAATCATTAATAGATGGAAACGTACAGGATTTGAAATCATTAAACTGCTGTATATTATAAAAAAATGCATAAAAATCAAATACTATAAGCATAACATAGAAATGACATACCTGAGATCAGGCTGTGGGTCTCCACTCTTAAACTTTAGTGGCGGCTTCATAGAGCAGTTACTCTTCATAGACACACAGCTGGACTCTGGGTTTGAGCTCTTCTGCTGGACTGAACTGGTTTTAAAACTAAGTAAAATAAAAAAGCATTCAGACTTCTAAATGTTGAGCACTTTTACTGGAAACTTCTGTCTTAAGAAACACCTGGAAGTGTTGTCACACTTTTGCTTTAATGTCTGTAAGTGGTGTTTTGCCAATGTTTCGTCTTGGTGTTAAACAGTGGGAAAAAATCTCAGCATACATTTACTTGATGTCATTGCTAGTAACAGACTGACTGACTGATAAATGTTGCTTTTAACTATAACTTTTATAGAAATGAAAGGGGAGAGCGGGCACAACCTAACACTTTTTTGATTTTTTCAGTTTGTGTAAATCCACTTGGGGTTCAGAGTATTTATTTTCCCCCATTAATTTCACACGTCTAGTACAAGTATGTGGTTTTGTTTCATTAATTCAGTATATCATTTTTGCTTCATTTCCCCTGAAAGGATGGAAGTGAAATGTGACAACATGCCCCATAGGTGAGGCATATCGTAACATGACCATATGACAGCTTAAAATGTTATCTGATCTAATCAATGTTCCCTCTAAGCTGCGTGCGTGCGCGGCCGCGCACTTCTGATGCCTCGGCCGCGCAGAAAAGAATAAAATGCCACGCAGAGGACTGACGCGAAATGGGTGGGGAAATCCATTTGATTGTAGTTTAAGTGAGAAATAATTTCAGTGCTCTGGTCAACCGCTATAGAGTGAAAACTGGTGAATGCAGTTTACAGGTTTCATAGAAAGAGAACGATGTGAGCGCGTGTGATTGGCAGTGAGTCGTGTGTGCGGTCCAAATAGCTCAATACGAGAGGCAACGAGAAACGCATAGACATGTGAAATAAAATCACATCATCATGTTTTAAAGAAGAGTGGTTTGATTAAAGTGGTGGAAATAACGGTTGATGGCAGTAGCGGTTTTAGGCACGGGCGAAGCGGGCAGTCGCCCGGGGCGGCATTTTTTCATGTCACATGGGGGGCGGCACGAGCAGTTAAAAAAATCCTCTGCGCCGCGAAGTTTTTCTATTTTCTATCATTTCAATTCAATTATTGGCAATGGCGCCCCTGCTTGCTGAGAAGGTGCCGTGCACAGAAGCGATGTCAAAGGGGTCTCCAGATTGGAGGTAGCTCACCAAGGGGCCGTTCACATATCGCGTCTTTTGCGCGCTCGAGGTCGTTATTTCAAATGTAGGCGCACGGGAAGCGCGCTCATAATTGAAGCGACGCGCTCATTTTTTCCAGGAGCAGCGAGATGAACATTTTTAATCTTTTCAGTATGGGGGTGCACCCAAACACGCGGGTGTTTTTCTCTTCTCCGTAAATAAATCTTTTAGCAGAGCTACAGCAAGCGTTTTTCTGTGGTGGAAATCCATTAGCTACTAAAACTTCTTTGTCGTTGTGGAGAGCGCAGTGCATGGTTGTATAGCAACGACAGCCATGGGAAAATCGGACCGAATTTTACTATTAATAATAAAAAATAAGCTACAGTGCATTATAAATGTCAGGGCCCGTATTCCTAAAGAATCTAAGAATCCTTTTAGAAAACTCTTAATTTACCTTAAAAACTTTTACGTAGGAGTCTTAGCTTAAGAGTGATTCGGGACCGATCTGAGAGCAACTCTGAGTAAGGAAAAGACAAAAACTCTCATCTTAGTGAGGAGGCGGGGCTGACCCCGTTGCTATGTATGACACAATCTTTTGAAGACTGTGATTGGTTGGTTGTCCAAGAAGGAAAAAAAAGAGCCATTTTAAGTATAGAGTTTACACACACACACACACACACACACGCACATTATATTTATGTATATAAATCCTTTTTTTTACCTTGCTGTTAATTTGATTGGCTTAGAATGATAAAAATTGTTCCACTCTTTCCAATTACACTGATTGCTGTCTATTTAAGTGGTGGTTTGAATGTTTGTTTTGAAAACATGGATTAAAAAACAAGAAAGACGAGAAAGCCTGACTGGTCAGAAGAACCGTGTTTACTGTTAGCCGAGTTAGTGGATGAACACTAGGCCGTCCTTAAAGGAAAATTCGGGCAGGGTGTCAAAGCATGGAGCGAGAAGCGGACGTGGGAGCTTATAGCGCACATTATTAACGGTTCATTCCCCTGCTTGTGCGCACCAGGGAAGCCTGCTATATTCATAAATACAGTTTTTTGAGCCTGCAAGGTGGGAATGTCCAGTGGAAACTAAATGAACTGCGACACAATAAGAGGTTCTGAAAGTGCTGTAATGTTTGTGTGATCACTGCTTACAGAAGGTTGTCACAGACCCAAATCACTATTGCTTTATTGCATTTTCCCATTTGCCAAATATCTTAATGTAGTGATCATTTCTGGCGTTATGGCATTCCTGCGCTGTGTCGGAGATATTAGCGTGTCTCTAATAAGATCAGTCACAAACATGATCACTGCACAATCTCATCTATAGCGTCTTATTAACTCACTGTCGTCATCTATTGTCTGCATCACATTTCTTCTCCCTCTTCATCGTTCTGTCATTTTCTCCTCTGCTAAAGAAACTCTTAAGCCTCTTAAAAGTCCTCATCCATACTCCTAACAATTTTGACCTTAAGACCTCTTTTAAGGGTTAAGATGCTTTCTGAATTACTTTTTTCTTTACTAGGATTTTTTCTTTAATTTTAAGAGTAAACGCCCACATTTCTAAGAATTTTCTTAGAATTTTGTCACTAGGAGCTACTTTTTACATTAAGATTCTTTAGGAATACGGGCCCAGGAATTTATCTTTATTGACCCATGCTTTTTATAAAGATGATTTAAAGGCTGAAATATGTGAGGTTTATCTTTTTATAAAACCTTTTTTGTCAAAAGTTTATTTGAACGTGTACATGTTAGTAGATAACATAAAACACACTCCTTTAAAATTTGGCCATCATCTTTAATGTTATTAACTTGGTGAATAGATTTCATTGTGTATTAGGCCTACTTTTTGAACAAGATTCTGTGTTTAACCGTGATCATTTTGGTCACTATATTCATGAAATTAAAATAATTTTCATAATGATCAACTAAAATCAACTATAATTATGTGTTTTTACAGTAGCCTATAATATGCAAAGTACAATTTTCTATTAAAAAATAATCTCTGATTCTGTCCTTTTCTCTGACATTTAAGGCCTAAGCTATTTTAGGTCTAAAACAGTTTGGATAGTTGTTAATATTAGAGTTATTAGAAATTATTTAAGAGATAAGTATTGTGTTACTACATAAGTATCTCTCGGCCACTTTCACTTTTAAAAACTCTATTTCGTGACAAAGTATAGTTTAACAAGTCATAACTAAAAGTGTGCCATGCATAGAATTCGAGGCAGTAACCAATGAGCTAATGGTACCCTGCGCTCGAAGGGGGTCTCGCCCAGGGTGTAATTCAATGTAGAACCGCCACTGGTTGATGGACACAGAACGGTAACAATTACACACCCACCCGCGTGCAAACTCAAAATACATCATTAGTTTAAATAGATGTTTTTGTGTGTGCGGGAGTTTCAGGCATGGTTATAGATTATAAAAGAGTTCACATTCACTTTTCTTAAACATATTTAGCTATTAGATCTATTTAAATGTTTCAGTTTGTTTTCATAATATAATACTATAATTAATATGTAAACAAATTGAAGCATTTAAACTGATATATTATATCACTTCAAATACTTCAATTCGATTTTTTTATATTATATTATATTATATTATATTATATTATATTATATTATATTATATTAGGCCTATATTTTATCATATTATTGTAACGTTTGATCAGGCACCAGTCCACCAGAGGGAGCCATCACCTGAATATTGAACTCTGTTACTTCCTGTTCCTGCCACATCATTTCCTGTCTTGTCATTTCCTGTCACTCTGTATTTAAGCCATGTGCTATCACTGCCTTATTGCGAAGTATTGCCAGTTCTCTGCCTTACTAAGCGTTCTAACATTCTCTTTTGATTTACTGTTATGACCATTGTTTTGCTTTTTGACTAACGCTTTTGGATTGCTGTTTTTTGGATTTGTCTGCCTTTGGATTGCTTTACTTGTGTTTTGACCAATGCCTGTGACCTGACTACGAATTGTGACTATTGTTTGGATTTTATGCTCAGATCCTTTAAAAAAGACCCGCTTATGGATTCCACTCAGCCTACATCTACTTTACAGAATACTTCGCCCGGCGCGAATCCAGCGGAAGTCGCTCAACTCCTCTCTACCATTGAGTATCAAAAGGATCTGCTCAATGGTTTTCAACACCAGTTACGGACACTGCAAGCCTCAAACGAGCATCTGACACAGTATATTCATTCTCTTCCTGCCCCACGTCCTGACCCGGTAAGATTCGCTTTACCCGATAAGTTTGATGGCTCTCCTGACAACTGCACTGGTTTCCTACCACAGTGTTCTATTTATTTTTCCAATCAAACTGAAAAGTTTAGCCAAGATCATACAAAGTGTTCCTTTATCATGACTTTGCTTACCGGGAAGGCCTTAGAGTGGGCCACAGCTGTTTGGGATCACGACACCCGTATCAAACAGTCATACAAATACTTCACTCAATTGATTCGTGATGTCTTCCAATATCCTGCTGGGGGCATGGACGCAGCTTCTCAACTAACTCAGCTACGTCAAGGTACCAGATCTGCTTCTGACTATGCTATCCAGTTTCGCACCCTTGCAGCCCAAAGTGGGTTTAATGATGTTGCTTTGAAGCACATTTTTCGTTCAAGTCTGTCTGCTAAATTACAAGAAGAATTGCTTTGTAAAGATGACTCCCTTGACTTCTCCCAGTTCGTTACCCTTGCTATCAAAATTGACAATCTCTTACGAACACAACCAAGTCCCAAGTCAGGTTATTATCTGCCTGCAACTACTGCTCAAATACCATCTCAGTCTAGTCCTACTGAACCCATGCAAATAGGACGAACTCACTTACCACCTGATGAACGGAGAAGAAGATTACTCAATCAACTCTGCTTCTACTGTGGTGAATCAGGTCATCGTTGTTCCAACTGTCCTATTAAACCCACGACCAACCCCTCTCCAAATTATCGAGTGAGTCACATGTTTAATACTTTACAAATCAGTTTATGCTTGTCACTTCCCATCATTTTGTCAGTTGCTAATCTAGACCACCATTTCTCAGCGTTAATAGATTCTGGAGCAGCTGCTAATGTGATTCATCAAGATTTAGTGAAGCAGTTGAACATTCCTACGACCAAATGTGAATCACCTATTGCTGTTACTGCCGTTGATGATGGTCCCATCGGTAAAGGTCATATCACTCATCAAACACTCCCCATTAAACTCAGAGTTGGCCTGCTTCACACTGAAGAAATCACTTTCTATGTCATATCATCACCACGAAACCCAGTCATCCTTGGATATCCTTGGTTATCTTCTCATGACCCACAATTTTCATGGAAGAAAAAGGAATTGGTTCGTTGGTCACCTCGTTGTCACGCTCACTGTCTGGAACTTCCCGCAAAACTTACAGTTTGCACTACCCATCTAGCCAAGAATCCTTTTCCATTACCAGATAATGTCCCCAATGAGTATGCTGACTTGGCTGAGGTGTTTAGTAAAGACAGGGCCACCAAGTTGCCACCTCATCGCCCCTTGGACTGTGCAATCGACCTCCTTCCTAACACCTCTCCACCTAAAAGCCGTGTTTACCCATTGTCCATACCTGAAACCAAGGCCATGGAAGAATATGTTGAAGAAGCCTTATTTTATGGATTTATTAGACCATCCACCTCTCCTGCAGCATCTGGGTTCTTCTTTGTTGACAAAAAAGACGGTAGCTTAAGACCTTGTATTGACTATCGAGCTCTCAACGCAATCACTGTTAAGAATCGCCATCCCTTGCCTCTTATTCCTTCTTCTCTGGAGCAATTACGGGAGGCCCAGTATTTCACCAAATTGGACCTCAGGTCTGCCTACAATCTCATCAGAATCCGTGAGGGTGATGAATGGAAGACGGCTTTTCTCACCACTAGGGGGCATTACGAGTATTTGGTTATGCCTTATGGGCTGGCTAATGCTCCGTCAGTTTTCCAGTCCTTCGTTAATGAAGTATTCAAAGATCTCTTGAATCAGTATGTGATTGTCTACATAGACGATATCCTGATCTATTCACACTCCATGGAAGAACATATCTGTCATGTAAGAACTATTTTGTCACGTTTGCTCCAGAATGACCTTTTTGTCAAGGCCGAAAAGTGTGAGTTCCATGTTACGTCAACCAAATTCCTGGGATACAATATTAGTTATTCTGGAGTTGAAATGGATGATACCAAAGTAAAAGCTGTCATGGACTGGCCCATACCCAGCACTGTCAAGGGGTTACAACGATTTCTAGGCTTTGCAAACTTTTACCGTAGATTCATCCGTGACTTCAGTACCATAGCTGCACCCATCACCTCACTTCTTAAAGGAAAACCCAGGAAGTTAGTGTGGCCGGAAGTGGCTACTTCAGCATTCAACAAGCTCAAGTCCAGTTTCACCACAGCTCCAATTCTTAAGCATCCTGACCCAAGACTTCCTTTTATCGTAGAGGTTGATGCCTCGGACTGTGGAATTGGTGCTGTCCTCTCCCAGCGTCATGGAACACCAGGCAAGTTACACCCCTGTGCATTCTTCTCACGAAAGTTAACTCCAGCAGAAACCAATTACGATATTGGTAACAAGGAATTACTATCTATCAAGGCAGCAGTTGATGAATGGAGACACTGGCTAGAAGGTGCCCTTCATCCCTTTCAAGTCATTACAGACCACAAAAACCTAGAGTATATCAAAGACGCCAAGCGTTTGAATCCTCGCCAGGCAAGATGGGCACTCTTTTTTACACGTTTCAATTTCTCAGTCACATACCGTCCAGGGAGCAAAAATAGCAAGGCAGATGCATTGTCACGTATCCATGACTCTGTTGATTCACACATGAGACCAGAAACTATCTTACCACGCTCCATCATCATCGCACCCATCCAATGGGATATTATGGAAGAGATTCAGCATGTCCTACATGAAGAGCCATCCCCTCCAGAGTGTCCAACTGGGAAAATCTATGTTCCATCCAGTCTTCGCAACAGAATCATTCAATGGGTCCACACATCCCTTGCTTCTGGACATCCTGGAATTAATCGCACCACCGCTTTGGTCAGAAATTCATTTTGGTGGTCCACATTATCTGCAGATGTTAATAGCTATGTAACTGCTTGTCAGATCTGCGCTCAGTCACGTACAGCTCGACAACTGCCTGCAGGACTACTAAAACCACTACCCATTCCTCAACGACCCTGGTCCCACCTTTCCATTGACTTTGTCACTGATCTTCCTTACTCTCAAGGATTCACCACCATCATGGTCTCCATTGACCGCTTCTCTAAGTCTTGTCGTCTCATTCCATTGAAAGGTTTGCCCACTGCCATGGAAACTGCCCAAGTTCTGTTTAATCAAGTTTTTAGAATTTATGGACTACCTGATGATATCGTAACGGACCGAGGGCCACAGTTTACATCACGGGTTTGGAGAGCCTTTTGCAAACATTTAAACATCAATGTCAGTCTCACATCGGGCTATCATCCTCAAGCTAAGGGACAAGTAGAACGTCTCAATCAGGAAATTGGTAGATTCTTGAGATCATACTGTAGCCAGGAACAGGAAAAATGGAGCATATACCTTCCATGGGCAGAGTATGCCCAAAATTCCCTCAAGCACTCTTCAACTGGTCTGACCCCCTTCCAATGTGTCCTGTGATATCAGCCTCCCCTATTCCCCTGGTCTGGGGAACCATCTGAAGTACCTGCTGTGGATGATTGGATTAAGAAAAGTGAACAGGTCTGGGACAATGCTCATGTCCGTCTCCAGCGAGCTGTTCGATCTCAAAAGATCCAAGCTGATCAACACCGACGTCCTCATCCTGAGTATCAGCCAGGTCAAATGGTGTGGCTTTCCACTCGCAACCTACGCCTGAAACTTCCTTGCAAGAAATTAAGTCCAAGGTATGTTGGCCCTTTTAAGATTGTACGTCAAGTTAATCCTGTCACATACCGTTTACAGTTGCCCAATAACTACCGCATCTCTCCTTCCTTTCATGTGTCCCTCCTGAAACCGGCCCACGGCTCATCGAGCCCCGAGACCACTGACGAAGAACCTCCTCCACCGCTCGAGATCGATGGAGCTCCTGCCTACCTAGTTCGGGAGATCCTAGATTCTCGCAGGAGAAGGGGTCAGATGCAATACCTTGTAGATTGGGAGGGATACGGCTCGGAGGAGAGATCGTGGGTAGCAACTAAGGACATCTTGGATTCATCACTCATCAGAGACTTTCACCAAGCCCACCCAAATCGTCCGGCACCCAGACCAAGGGGTCGTCCTAGGAGAGGAACACCTGGAGGTGTTCCTAGGGGAGGGGAATCTGTAACGTTTGATCAGGCACCAGTCCACCAGAGGGAGCCATCACCTGAATATTGAACTCTGTTACTTCCTGTTCCTGCCACATCATTTCCTGTCTTGTCATTTCCTGTCACTCTGTATTTAAGCCATGTGCTATCACTGCCTTATTGCGAAGTATTGCCAGTTCTCTGCCTTACTAAGCGTTCTAACATTCTCTTTTGATTTACTGTTATGACCATTGTTTTGCTTTTTGACTAACGCTTTTGGATTGCTGTTTTTTGGATTTGTCTGCCTTTGGATTGCTTTACTTGTGTTTTGACCAATGCCTGTGACCTGACTACGAATTGTGACTATTGTTTGGATTTTATGCTCAGATCCTTTAATAAAGACCCGCTTATGGATTCCACTCAGCCTACATCTACTTTACAATTATAAGCCTAAATTAAGAATCTCACAAGGGTATTGTTTAGGGCTCATTGTCATTGCCATTAAAAAGTTTGAAACCCCCTGCTGAAGAAAATATTGGAAATTCATAAGCAATAAACAATCATTTAACTTTGATGCTTTAATGCTTCCTGTACACAATTAATTGACTGTACTAAAACACTTTATGGTTTTCCCAAACCATCTCAGTGTAACAGCTTACTTTTCTTTCATACTATATTCTATTATTGAACTGCCCTGCAGAAGATTTTGTAAATTATTTTTCTTAGGATTTCTTGGTAAAGACTGTACAGTTAACAGCACTGTAAAAAAAATATCAGGTAACCTAAAATGTGCTTCATTTAGTGATTTCTTAATTAACTGCTTGTTTTTCGAAAATATGATTTAATACCAATAAGTTACATCAAGGGTCAAATAAAATAGAAATGGCACATTCAAGTTAAAAAATTTCAACTGAATGTTGAAACCATTGTGTTTCTACGTATGCTGTACAGGTCAGGTATAAAGAATATTTTTGCTCAGGTGGCGAAAAATGTCCGCCCAATAGAAAAAAGTTTTGCTCAGCAAGAAAAAAAATTAGAGGGAACATTGGATCTAATCAAAAAAAATATACAAGACAAACCAAAATATTTGTCAATAAAATACAATTATTAACTTTTTCATATAAAATAATGATTGCTGTATATTAATATTAATTTCATAAAACATAAAATACTATAAGCACAACATAGAAATGACATACCTGAGATCAGGCTGTGGGTCTCCACTCTCAAACTTTAGTGGCGGCTTCATAGAGCAGTTACTCTTCATAGACACACAGCTGGACTCTGGGTTTGAGCTCTTCTGCTGGACTGAACTGGTTTTAAAACTAAGTAAAATAAAAAAGCATTCAGACTTCTAAATGTTGAGCACTTTTACTGGAAACTTCTGTCTTAAGAAACACCTGGAAGTGTTGTCACACTTTTGCTTTAATGTCTGTAAGTGGTGTTTTGCCAATGTTTCGTCTTGGTGTTAAACAGTGGGAAAAAATCTCAGCATACATTTACTTGATGTCATTGCTAGTAACAGACTGACTGACTGATAAATGTTGCTTTTAACTATAACTTTTATAGAAATGAAAGGGGAGAGCGGGCACAACCTAACACTTTTTTGATTTTTTCAGTTTGTGTAAATCCACTTGGAGTTCAGAGTATTTATTTTCCCCCATTAATTTCACACGTCTAGTACAAGTATGTGGTTTTGTTTCATTAATTCAGTATATCATTTTTGCTTCATTTCCCCTGAAAGGATGGAAGTGAAATGTGACAACATGCCCCATAGGTGAGGCATATCGTAACATGACCATATGACAGCTTAAAATGTTATCTGATCTAATCAAAAAAATATACAAGACAAACCAAAATATTTGTCAATAAAATACAATTATTAACTTTTTCATATAAAATAATGATTGCTGTATATTAATATTAATTTCATAAAACATAAAATACTATAAGCACAACATAGAAAGGACATACCTAAGATCAGACTGTGTGTCTCCACTCTCAAACTTTAGTGGCGGCTTCATAGAGCAGTTACTCTTCATAGACACACAGCTGGACTCTGGGTTTGAGCTCTTCTGCTGGACTGAACTGGAACAGAGAACAGATTCAGTTTAATCCTTTAGATTACTGTTCATTCTTTATGAGAGGAACTATTTAAAGATACAATATGTAATTTTTTCACCACTAGGTATCGCTAATCTCTTATGGTGTGTTCACACCGAACGCGAATAGAGCGTCAAATACGCATCTATCGCGTCTCGTTAGACGCTTGAACATTTTGAACCCATTCACGCGTCCGCGTCACTCGCGAATAAAGAAACAACAACAGTTTCTTTTTGGCATACGTTTCCGTCATGTTTGAAATAAAAGATATGCTGCTCTACTTGTTGTGGAAGTCCCAAATACGGAGGAAAGCCAAACGCCGACGTGTCTGGGTTCACATCACCATCCAGAGATGCACCCAACTTAAAAATGGCTGTTTAGTAACAGCCATTATTTAAAATTGGAATTTCTCTGACATTAAAAATCTTTGGGAACTTTTGAAAGTACACAACTGCAGTGAATATATCTAACTGTGCAAGTGATTGTTTGATATTTTATTACAAAAATCTTACATATTTTAGCTTTAATATAAACATTTGTCTTTCATTAAAGAAATGTCATGATACTTTCAAAACAAAAACAGGCAAAATACACACACAAAAAAAAGATTCTATAAATGTTTATTTGATCCGTGTGTGTGTGATGATCTGATCAAACTGATGTGTGGGATCAAACCGATCTTTTTCTGTGATGTAACACAATATTTAACAGTGTTTGTTGAAAGTACCTGTATCCTGGAGGAAAATCTCCATCTCTGGATGCTTGTGAATCAGCCATGATGAAGATGCAGGAGAATCAGTTTGATCTCCTCCACTGACTCTGAATGAAGAAACATTCAAACACTAAATAGCTGTGTTTCCACTGTCGGGCCAGGGCCGGGCCGTGCTAGTGCGTGCCAGGGCCAGTCGCGTTTCCACTGTCACTTCCGGGGCTTGATCGGGGCTTACTCGGCGCCAAAGGCCAGGATTTCTGGCCCGTCGAATACCTTGGGCCAAAGCGGGCCAGCTCGGGCTAGAGGAGTGGTTACGCACAGAGGCGGAGTTTACCTGAGTCTGGAGACGACAGCGCCGGATGATTCTGTCAGCATAAAGACTTTTAAAATTATTTAACTCACTTTCATGTTTGAATGCCTTCTTTGTGATCTGATGTGGATTCTAATCACCGTATAAGGTAGAAATATTTATACACGATGCAAAAGACTATTCGCGCTAACCATTACCATAGTAAACATAGTAAACGCATGAAGATACGCATAGTAAAAAAACATGATGAACACTTGAAGAAATCAGACCAATCATAAAGGCTATCACAATCATGTTTTTATTTTATCTGTCAGTAGCATACGTCTCGTCTCTTTATACCGGACTATCATAAAATAAAGCAACTTCCCTTTCAAGGGAACTCGAGCTGCGTTAAGACGCGGTGGGAACGCTCTGCGTGATTGCGTCGTGAAGCACGTGTATACCGTATTTTCCGCACTATAAGGCGCACTTAAAAGCCTTTAATTTTCTCAAAAAACGACAGTGCGCCTTATAATGCGGAGCGGCTTATATATGGATGATGAACACACGTTCACCAAGACGGGTAGACAGCGCCGGGCGACTTACGCCACTATCTGCCAATGGATCGTGGACGCCTGGACTGATATATCAGTCTCAACTGTGATCCGAGCTTTCACGAAGGCAGGAATAATCTCTTTATTCAGCCGGCTCACATACCCGTATTTACTTCCTGTTTTCGGCCGAAATCCACAGTAGTCGATTGTCGAGTTTGCACGATCAAACCTCCTCCGTGTGTTCAACATCTGATTCGGATGAACTATCCATTTGAGCTGATATTCTCAGAACACCACACAGCACCGTCATCGGCTGACAGCTGACAGTCTGAGTCTCCACTGTTGCTTAGTTACCAATGATCGCGCGCGCGCACTCGACAATCGCCTACTGTGGACTTCGACCGAAAACTCGTTTTTCGAAAACGAGACGTCATAGGCGGGTGACGTCATCGACCAGGAAGCTATAAAGCACCCCTGAAAACAGACCGCGACAGCTTCTGTGTCTTCAGCAAGCATCTGTGTATTCTGTCAAGTTGCAATATATATATATATATTATGGCAAAAGAGAGCAAGCAAGCTTTGTGTTGTTCCCTGCCCACGTTAAATCACGGGTGGGGACACGCACATCAGCTTTGTGTTGCTGTTTGGGAGTGAAGCCAACAGTCAGTTCTCGAGGGAGCTGACTGTGAGCATTGCAAGAAGCTGTCCGTGAGGACGCTCCGCTCCCGCCGGCCGTTCTTCGAGGAGGACGGTTCGGTTCGTTTCGGTTCGCGTTCCGCGCGGCTCCCGCTGTTGCCGAGGCACGGCGCCGCCCTATCTCAGCTTTCACCTGCCAGATCCAGTGTGCTGCGATTTCCAGTTCCGAGGAATTGGTATTGTTAGTGTTTTGTTAAGAAAAAGAGAACAAAACAAATAAAGATATTAAGAAAAAGGCAGATGTTTGAGTTTTCAATAAATAAATAAATAAGTCAGCTCATAACTCTGCTGAATAAAGAGGAGCTTTTAAAAGGAGGGTTTATCTGTGCTGTTGCCAGTTAAATATTTACTGGCCAGCTGAACATTATGAGAGTGAAAATAAAAAGAGTTTATTAGATTAAATAAATCTATAAAAAAAAAACAGGAAAACTCTGTATCTCAGCCTCCTCGTCGGGGACTGCTGTTTTTTCCCTATCTCCACACTGAGGTGTCGAGATTGTGGAATAAACCGGTTTCTATTTTATGTGTTTAATCCCCAAACGTCTAACTATAGTAATGTTATGGGTATTAAGTATCATGACAGTGCCTCGGGTTAAAGAGACGCTTGCAAGCTTTCTCTCTCCCGAGTCGGCGTCATCATTATTAACCCCGACGTTACCCACCAGCCATCTTATTATAATAAATACATTTTATTAGGCAGCGCTGGTGGGTAAAGTATATATAAGGACATGGATGAATGTGAGGATGTCAGCACTAACGCTATTCGAGAATTGCGTTTTGCAAAAACAGATGAACTATACCGGGAGGGACGGTTTCGAGAAATCGTTTCTCCTCTGCGAATCCTCTGGGGGCGACTCTCTGAGGAGGGTCACAGCACTTCCTGAGACTGCTGGGCGGGAGCAGTCTCGGCCATACTAAGCTCCTCGCAGCACAGAGTGCAAAACAGAGCGTCGCCATTTGGGCTCCTCCACAATCGAGGGGACCTGGGTGGCAGTCGCAGTCTAGCCAGTTAGAGATATGCAAGATCTGAGGACTGTTTTATCTCTAAAATAGCTTGGACAGAGAAGAAGCCCTGACGCCGAGGCGATCAGGCTTCTAAGGGTGGTCCCCTCCGAGGTAGGGACTGTTTTGAGAAATCGATTCTCTTCGGCGCCCTCTGGGGTGCGACTCTCTGAGGAGGGTCGCAGAGCTGTCAGTTCGGTTTTCCTGCCGGTTCGCCGTTTCAGGGCACCAAGGTATCAGTGTCCCCAAACGATCCTCTGAGGAGGGTCGTAGGGCAGTCAATTCGGTTTCAGTTGTAGTACGGTCAGTTCGGTTGTTCCCTGCCGGTTCGCCGCTTCAGGGCACCGTAGTGACTGTCCAACCAAATCCAGAGGCCAGTCTTGAGAGACTGGTTCCCCTAGTAGAATTTCTGGCAGCGTGGAAACTACTGCCACACATTTCTCAGTGGGTCCTGCACACTATAGAAAAGGGTATCAGAATTCAGTTCGGTTCTCGTCCGCCCAGATTTCTAGGGGTCCTCCCCACATTGGTGGACCCCAAGCAGGCTTTGGTTATGGAGCAGGAAGTACTGACACTTCTGCAAAAGGAGCTGTAGAAGGGGCTCCTCCTCCCAGCAGACAGTCAGGGTTTTACAGACATTACTTCATTGTTTCCGAAAGAGGATGAGGGGTTGCGTCCTACTCTAGATCTGCGTCAATTAAACAGCAGGTTTCAGAATCTTAAGTTCGAAGTATGCTTACGCTAAATATGATTGTGTCACAGATTCAGTCCGAGGACTGGTTTGTCACAATAAACTTAAGGGACGCTTACTTATCTATCCATCCTCATCACAGGAGGTTCCTGAGGTTTGCTCTCGGGGGCGAAGCATAGCATTATCGGCTTCTCCCATTCGGCCTAGGTCCATGGCATTTTGGAGAACCCGATAATGGTATGCTTCGCTCCAGGGCATTCGCGTATTATACTATATCAACGATTGGTTGATCCTAGCTCAATCTGAGCATATGGCAGTTCGGCATCGAGATGTCGTTCTGTCTCATTTAAAGATGTTGGGGTTGCCGCTAAACGCCAAGAAGAGTGTGCTCCTCCCAGCTCAGAGGACCACTTTTCTAGGTGTAATATGGGATTCGACAACGATGCGGGTACGATTGTCTTCAGCATGTATTTCCGCGATTCTCACAGCCGTAAATGGGATATATCTAAGCCAGTCACTCACTGTGAAACAGTTTCAGACTGGTGGGTCTCATGGCAGCTGCGTCCAACGTAATTATTTTTGGCCTTCTGTACATGAGACCCCTGCAGTGGTGGCTCAGGACCAAGGGGTTTTCTCCGAGGGGAAATCCGTTTTCGCATGATCAAGGTCACGCGGCTATGCCTACGTGCCTCAGTCATGTGGAAGAACCTTAGTTCCTCGCCCAGGCCCAGTGTTGGGGGCTTCTTGTCGACGCATAATACTATCGACGGATGCTTCCCTCACAAGTCGGGGGTGATCATGAGTGGTCGCTCGGCGAAGGGTGTTTGGCAGGACCATCTACCTTTTAGCACATAATAGGCTGAAAGTGATGGCGGTATTCCCGAGAATCTCAATACTTCCTGCCAGACCCGAGAGGTCACCATGTGTTTGTCCTTCCGGACAACACACTGATGGTCTCGTATATCAGAGCAGATATCCTGTTGAGGCAGGGGCTGTGGCCCAGGGAATGGAGACTTCACCCCGTGGTGGTGGAGCTTCTTAGGGAGAACTTCGATCAAACTCAAGTCGACCTTTCGCATCGTTTGTACAACGCATAGCCCTATGTGGTTCTCCCTTACGCATCCAGCTCCGCATGGACTGGATGTGATGTATTAGGTGTGGTTGATGCTACACCTGTACGCATTTCCCGATATCTTTGCTCCCGGGAGTTTCATGGGATACAATATTTCACCCTCATCTGCATTTATGGATACTGTGGGCTCAGCCTCTGAGGGGGCCCAGCTCATAGATTCAAGACTCTCGACCGAGGTCACGGAGACCATACTCCAGTCTAGAGCTCCCTCCACGAGAAGACTAAATATGCATTGATATGAAAACTGTTCTCTGCCTGGTGCAGAGAATGCCTTCTGAATCTTGTTTCTGCCCGGTTGGTACAGTACTTGATTTCTGTAGTGAATGTTTCTTTGCTGGGTTATCTCTGAGGAGAGATCCTTAAATTTGTCTTCTCTGTGGTACATGAGGCTGAGGCCTGCACGTACTTGGATTTGCACCTGGTATGGTGATAGTATTTCTTCACCCCAGGTCGGGTTGTATTTCTAGGTCCCTACTAAATGTGTGGGTCATTTGTGCTGCAGGCCTTCTGTCCTCAACCTTTAATACCCCAGATCAGGAAAAACTTAATCTGTTATGCCCTGGCTTTGGATGCGTATGTCCTCAGAGCTGCTCTGTGGCGTACATCAGAGCAATTATTTGTCACCTAAGATAGGTTGCCCTGCATCTAAACATATTATGAGCAAGTGGGTAGTTGAGGCTATCTCACTTGCTTATGAAGCGGCCGGACAGCCTTCACCTTTTGCTGTCCAAGCTCATTCTACTAGGAGTATGGCTGCCTCTAAGGCTTTAATTTCGGGGGTTTTCCTTCAAGATGTTTGTAATGCGGCAGGCTGGTCCTCGCCGCATACTTTCGTCAGATTTTATGACCTAGACCTCTCCACTCCCGGAGCTAGGTTGCTTGCTTCTTAGTGTGCGCAGGGACTTCACACAGAACGGGCATTTGTCACTATGGCGTAGTGGGTATGGGGTTCCCACCGCGTCTTAACGCAGCTCGAGTTCCCTTGAAAGGGAACGTCTCAGGTTACGTATGTGTAGCAATGTTCAGGGAAGAAGGAGGCGGGAACCGGCGGACAATCAAAATAAAACTTTATTTTAAATGAAATAAACACAATACCTGCCAGCAGTCCCTCACGGAACTGCTGGCTACCAAAATAAAATAAAACAAAACACAATCAAAAGCAGGCCTGTTCCTCTCCCGCTCATACACTTCGTCGCTCCCCCTTTATGCTTCCGCTCCTCCGTGAGAGATGCGAGACCGGTGTGCTTCACAGGTGCTGCTCATTAGCAATCGCACCACCGGCCTCGCGACGTTCTCTCACGTCCCTCGGCCATCCTGCTCACCATATACCCCCATCACCCCTCACAGGCCGGGGGGTACACCCGAGACTGTGCCTACTCCCCCCCCCGGCGGCGGCGGCAATCCCTGGGGTTATGGATCGACAAGCCGAGGGAAACGGAGACGGAAGCATGAGGAGCGACAGATCGAGAGAGGGAAAAAAAACTTGGTCCGGTTCCCACAACGCGCTGCCATCTTGTCCCTCACCAGCTGGGCGATCTCCTCCGCGGTGCCCGGCGGCGACGCTGGATGGCCCTCGGTGGACGCCTCGACGCTCCCCCGCCCCCGGTGGACCGCGACGGCTCCTCTGGTGCCTTGGGCAGACGGCAGGAGTCCCCCGCTCCCTGCTCCTCCCCTTCACTGGCGGATGACAGCAGGCTCCGGCCCACGGCAAGCGGTGGTGACTCCTCCTCTCCCTCCCGGAAGGGCCGCCCCTCCATTCCCATGCGGTCGGCGGCGAGCTCGGGCGTCCCACCGGCAACTCACCCCAGCGCCCCGCCTCGAGCGTCCATGGCTGCTCCTCCCCCGCTCCCTGCTCCTCCCCTTCTACGGCGGACGGCAGCAGGCTCCGGTCCGCGGCGGCGACTCGCGCACCATGCTCGATGGCACCGCGGATTCCCCACTGTGGTCCTGCTCACCACAGTATGTAACCCTGGTTCCCTGAGAGGGAACGAGACGCTGCGTTCTCCTGCCATACTTCCTGCATGCCCTGATCAACGTGCTTCAGACTTTCCAGAAGCTGTCGCGGTCTGTTTTCAGAGGTGCTTTATAGCTTCCTGGTCGATGACGTCACCCGCCTATGACGTCTCGTCTTTCCATTGGACTGATTATACACGTGCTTCACGACGCAAATAACGCCGAGCGTTCCCACCGCGTCTTAACGCAGCGTCTCGTTCCCTCTCAGGGAACCAGGGTTACATACGTAACCTGAGACGTTTTTTTCGGGAGCTTCCTCTGTTTCTCTGACTGAAAGTATCTGTAGCCTAGTGGGAGTCGAGAGAGTGCTAAAGCTCCTCAGGTCGTATTTTTGGTGGCATATATTTGTAGAAATGATAATTCTTTCTAAATGTGATGTAAATATGTTAGGGTTAGCTACCAAATAAACAAAAACAGACGTGACTGAAGAAGTAAGTGTGTCGGTGTCCTCTTTCTTTGTGAAACCTAACGGTAACTTATTGCTGTGTGACTAATGTGCAATTTTGATATACATTAATTCATGATCAATGTATCACTTTTTATTGTAAACCTGTGGTAAAACATTGATGCTTGGGTTTAAAATATTCAAGTAAAGAACAAAAATGCCAGCAACGGTCGCTGATCTGTTTTGCAATGCACGCTGTTTCCTGTGATTTCTTTCTGATTAGTTTTCTGATAAAACTTCCATTTGTTGGTGAAATGATGGGTTAGTGTGACGTTGTTCCAGAGAGGCATGTTACGGGCGTGTTTTAGTGAAGCGCTGTGGAGCTTCTGGCCCGACAGTGGAAACGCAGGCCAGGTGCTACTGGCCCGAGGCTATTAGCCCGGCAAGGCCCGTTTATAGCCCTGGCTCGTACTGGCCCGACAGTGGAAACGTGGCTAATGAAATGTTAATTAAACAACCTTCATGATTTAGCTGAATAAATCTGAATAGAAGAAGCTACACACATGCTGTTAAACTCCTGAAGAATCACAAATATCATGAAACACAAAAGAAACCCTATATTAAAGATTTCATATAAAACAACGCGACCCGATGCGTTAAGCAGAAGAAGATGGATGGATGGATATAAAAAAAATCACCTGTTGAAAAGAGATGGTATTCATCCCTCCTGGGCTGGTGCTGCTCTTCTCTCTAGTAATTTGGCTCTAGGAGATAAAACATGACAATCTGGGGCTCAGGTCAGGAAGCAGACAGACCGGCAAAACCGAGCGTCTGCTAGCGGCCTCGCATCACCAAGGTCAGATAAATCCCATCACATAGAGACTCCGAGACTCTTTCACCTAGATATCATCATGTAGAGACTGTTCCCCAAATTTGGAAATCCAAAAAACGTCTAAGCCATCTAAGGTTAAAAATGTGATTGATTGATTGATTGATTGATTGATTGATTGATTGATTGATTGATTGATTGATGGAATGATTCAATGAAGGAATGATTCAATGAATCTTGATATTGCAACAGAAATTTTTAACTCTCTCTTTTCTAGCACTTTAAACGCAGTTGCTCCGTTGCACTTAAAGAAGATTAAAGAAAATAGTCCAACGCCGTGGTACAACGAGCACACTCAGGCCCTTAAGAGAGCAGCCAGAAAAATGGAGCGCAACTGGAAGAAAACAAAATTAAGGTATTTCGGATTTCATGGAAGGAGAGCTCGACTGCTTACAGAGAGGCCTTAAAAACTGCCAGATCTGCTTATTTTTCAACCCTATTAGAAGAAAATAAACATCATCCCAGGTAATTATTTGAAACAGTGGCTAAACTAACGAAAAAGAAAGCTTCAAGCCCAGAAGTGTCCAAGCAACACAGCAGTAATGATTTTATGAACTTCTTCACTTATGAGATTGATAATATCAGGGACAAAATTATAATTGTGCAACCGTCTACTACAGTATCGCATCAGGGAGTGCATTGTAGTCTCCCTGAGGAAAAATTTGATTATTTTTAACTATAGGAGAGGAAGAATTTTGCAAACTCGATAATAGTCTTCGTCGTCGGTTAGGAACCTGGGTGTGCTCTTTGATACCAATCTTTCATTTGAAAGTCACGTGTCTTGTATCTGTAAAACCGCATTTTTCCATCTGAAAAATATGTAAATTACGCCATATGCTCTCATTGACAAATGCGGAACAATTAGTTAATGCGTTCATGACATTAAGACTAGATTATTGTAATGCTCTACTGGGTGGTTGCCCTGCACGCTTAATAAACAAACTACAGCTGGTCCAAAACGCAGCCGCTCGAGTTTTTACCAGAACCAGGAAATATGACCATATTAGCCCGGTTCTGTCAACACTGCATTGGCTGCCTATTAAACATCGTATACATTTTAAAATATTGCTGATTACTTACAAAGCACTAAATGGTTTAGCTCCAGGACTTGAGCGAGCTCTTAAAGCATCGTAGTTCTTCACGTCTATTGCGATCTCAAAATTCCGGCCAGTTGATAATACCTAGAATATCAAAATCGACTGCTAGCCGTAGATCCTTTTCCTATTTAGCACCAAAACATTGGAACAGTCTTCCTACCATTGTCCGGGAAGCAGACACACTCTGTCAGTTCAAAGCTAGACTAAAAACACATCTCTTTGACCTAGCATACACATAATACTTTATCGACTTCTATAATTCAATGTTAGGCTGCATAGATTAGGTCAGCCGGAACTGGGAACACTTCCCTTAAATCCAGATGTACTCGTTACATCATAAGAAGAATTGCATCTACACTAATTTTAGTGTCTTTGTTTATCCCAAGGTTTTCCCGCAGCCTGCCGGATCCAGGCCGTATCCAGATCTGACGAAGGAGATTCGCCTGGACCCGATGACAATGCAGTGCTGAAGTGTCAACTATCCTCTCCCTATGGAGGATCCCTTTCCCACTCTACAGATTGCGCACCTACCTCAAAGTGATAAAATAAATAAAATTCTGTATCAAATTTATAGGCAAGACAAGTAGTTTGTTTAGGCATGGTTTGTAGGGAATTACAAACCTGCGCACATATATTTAAACACACATAACTATAGAATCAATTCTTAATGTGCATGTGAACGCCATCAGCGTTTACCACAGATTCGCGTTTAAAGTCTGTTTAGAGAGAACGGTGTCGTCTTAGTGGACCCTAATTTAATAACAAATGATCATTTCACCGTAAGTGAATCAATCAAAACTAACTTCAGCTGGAAATAACATTATTCAAGAACCGCTATAAAGCCAAAACATTCTCTTTTACCTTAAATTATATGTTTATCTCTGTGAAGCTTCTTCACGCCAGTGGGGCTCGACAGGCTTAGTCAAACGGGTTGGCGCGTATGGTCAGGTTGCGGCGAGACTGTGGTTAGGTCACATGTGAACTTCAAGGACGGAGCAAAGTAAGCTGAAAGGTCAGCAAGGTCAGTAAGCTGGGCTGAGTTAAGTGGTGGTCTGAGGGGGGTGGCTCTCGAGTCACTGTCGAGCCCTCTTGAGGTGTCGTGGGCTAGTCGACGAAACACTGAGGACGGAAGGTGCCCACTTGAAGACCCTAGAGATGTCCCCTACTCGGCTCAATCCAGACGGTTGTGATGATCCACTGGGGAGACCGCACTTTGGTTGCAGCCGTCGTGTGTGCATCGTTAACGTTAATATATCATGTTTTCTCCTTCACGGCAGAGCCTGAAAAACACTTTCAGTTGAACTGAACTTTGTGTTCAGAAAAGAGTGTGTAGTCTAACAGGTTTTTCTGTATTCGGCACATGACCTACTCTGACTGGAGAGAGAAAATAAACCCCAGAACAGCACCATCAGTCCCTGAAAATCACATGAATCCTGCAGAAAAATTTGTATTCATGTTCTCAAATCAAAACATACACATACTCTGTAAAATACAGGGTAAGATTAAGTAAGTTCCCTTCAGTCGTTTGCTCCCTGGCTGGATCCCAATCAGTCGACACGTTGACTACGTCTCCATTCCCTCCTTCAGGAAACGAGGGTTTCATACATAACTGACACGATCCCCTGGAGTAAGAGGTTTTTTTAATTCTTGAAAAAACACAAAATACCAAACAAACCTCAAATAGACAAGTCCAAATAGCAGCAAACAGAATAAATAAACAACATAAACCTAAAGAAAAGTATAAATTAAATACACAAATAAAATATTATGGTTGCAGCCGTCGTGTGCGCTGACGTGCCAAATACACTTCAACCGTTAACACCAGACAGAAGGAGATTCACATCACCATATGGAATGAAGCGTAAATGGATGGCGAAGTATAGGTTACTGTAAAGCTGTGTCTTGGTGGTTATCTTGGTGAAAGCCGAGTACAAATCAACATGAAGTTGTAACATCTACTCTCGTGTAATGGAAATCAAAACAATCTACGTTGTTAAAAGCGCTATATAAATGAAGATGACTTGACTTGACTTAATAATAAATAAATAAATAAACAAATACAAATGAAAGTATAAGCCAGAAGCCCCTCGTGGATGACTGCTGGCCACACAAAACAGAGCTGTCCTCCCAGGGCCCTCGTCCAGCTCGCCACACTGTGTTTTTGGTCTTATGCTGAATCACCACGGTACGCCTATAATACGTGTTTATATACGGACTATTATTTTAAACCGCTGACACAGAGAGAAGTAGATCCAGCTACAATTTTCTTTCACAGCAGATTGTTAATTAACCCCTGGAGCACCAAAAGTGGAATAGTTTAATGCCTTTAAAAAGATCTTAATTTGTGTTCCGAAAATAAATGGTTGTCTTGCGGGGTTGGAGCGATATGTGGGTGAATGATTAACAACAGAAATGTCATTTTTGGGTGAACTAACCCTTTAAACCATGTTAACTTTCCTGAAGCACTTGAAGATTCTTTCCTTTTTTATGCTTAAAAAAATACACAAGTGATAACATATAACAACAGAATACAAAAACTTGAAGATGCTTTTCTATGTAATGACATCATGGAGTAGATG